CCCCAAGGGGGTTTCCTCAGCAACGCGTAAAAGGAAGGGGAAAGTCATTGTGAAACTGAAGCTCATTAACTTTGAAAAACAACTTTTAAAAAACCCAGCGGGGGGCGGGGTGTTGGTTTGGAGGGTGGAAGGGGACACATTACTAGCCCTGAACTGAAACCACGTTTGGGTGGCGGATGTGCTATGAAAAGAGCGAGGAAAGCCAAGGTTATTCCAGAGGCCGCTCCGGCACCCGCGGGTGCTTCCCGGAGCCGTCGCGGCGAGCGCAGTTAACCCCTGCCTGCCCGACAGGGTGGGGCGAACCGGGGACGGGACTTGGCGAGGCGAAGGGGGCCGCGCGGCCGGGCGGCCGACCCGGCTCCTGGGACGTGGGGAGGAGTGAAAGGGGAAGAGGGAGCAATTACCATAAGCCAGAGTTTGACCCCGGCTGCTAGAAAGCAGTAGAGGAAGCCAGGAGTGGAAGTCCCTGGCAGAGAAATTAGGAGGGGCTGGACCAGGCTCACGAAGAACTTTTCACGATTAGACCTAATTTGGGGCTCAGAAATTCCGCACGGACACCTAGAGAAGCAGGCAAAAGTGGCCGGCTTAATGGGCCACCCCAAACTTGGAAGGAAAAAGGTCAAACAGAAATTTTGATGCAAAGAAAACTCTCGGATAAAATCAGACTGTTTTCCCCTTTTAAGGAATAAAAATGCTAAACGACCATACACCCACCAAGACAGCTGGCCATCTGTGCGAACTTGAATTGTTTGGTTCCCTTGGGCTTTCATAGAGGCGTCTAGGTTTTTCCTGCTAGGGTTGACCCCTAAAATTCCCCGGAGGAAATCCTACCTCTAGCTCATTTGAGCTAAGAAAAGCTCAAAGTACCAGAATGGGCATGATGAAAAATGGAATCGCTCAGTAATGGCGAATTTGTAGCCAAAGAAAATGTCATGTAAAGGCAGAAATAAGCCCACTAAAACTTAAATTTGGTTATAAGAGCAAAGATCACCCAGCTCTGTAAATCTGAAATAACGCCTGGCTTACAATGAAATAATGCAATTTTTATTTTTATTTTCAATGTGATATAATCATCTCGCTTTTGTAAAATGAAATGACAGCCAGTGAGTTGCAATCGCAAAAAGTATATAAGGTAAATTCCCAACTGGGCTGTTTGGATAAAGAAAAAAACACATACGTTTAACTGTGAAAGAATAGCTAATAATCTGTCAGAATAAAGGTACCTTGATAATGAATTGAGTTGGGGTCGCTTGGGAAGTCAAAAATGCTAACTGAATGAATAACTCTTAACCCAACAGTTGCTGACCACAACATACTGTCAACACAGTGTTTGTTTAGAATTTAGCTTTACTAAGAACTTTCTAATAGAAGATTCCTTCAATTCCGAATTATAATTGGTAAGGGTCATCCCCATCTGTTTTCCTGAGCAGCAAACTACAAAAAACTTTTAAAATATATATACGCAATGTCGAAGTTTCCTAGTCTAAATGCAGGGGCTTTTCCTCATTCTGCCTACGACTCTAACGTCCTGGATATCAGAATGCAGATAAATCAGTCCAGCTAAACTACGGTTTGTTTCGGCTCAATTGTTTTGCGGTCATTTCGCCAGACGTGGCTTCTCAGCGTGTGTCCAGTCGACGGAACGTGGGGGGAAACTGAAGCCGAGGACAAACGAGAATGATAAACTGCAGTCCGAACTGTCAACAATTCTGGAGCCACGAGGGCGGGGGACCATGCTCGGGCAAAGGGGGGCTCCCGGGGGGCCATCGCTCTCGGCCCCCGCGCCCCCTACCGGCCCCGGCAACGCCTCGGGAGCCCCCACGGCGAGCGGGGTTCCAGGAAGGGCAGTGTCACCGAAAGGCTCGACGCAAACACACACACACGTTTCTCTTCTCGCGGCTCAGCCGGGCGAGGGCACAAGCCCGCCCGGAGCC